ATTTTCCGGTAAACACGGGGTAATTCCATATGGCGACCCAAAACTGAAATCACCTCCATCGTTTGTCAATTTTTATGCTCAAAAAACGAACAGTGTCTGGTTCATAGGAAAGAAAAGACATCCACCATAGCTTAGGTGTTTATCTAACCGCTGGTCTACAACATTTTACGATGGAGTGTGTAAATAGCTCAGACTGGTAAACGCAATGAAGGAGCATTTACAGTGGATGGGTCAACTCATGAAATGTTAACCGAAATTTTCAAATGCGTTTTCGTAATGCATTTTGTAATGCATTAAAATTAATCATCATGCAGCATAATTCTATAATACTTCCATTATCACGGCATAATGGCTTTCGAAAAGATATCTTTCCCGTAGCATGCAAAAACCCTACTCTGTAAGGAAAGATTACTTAAATAGCATAGTTTTCTCTCATTAATCTTCGCTGCTCATAAAAATGAATTATATTTCATAGAAAAAATGCATAAAAATATTCGCTTATTTATTTATTAGGGAATAATCTAGTTTTAAAAAAGTTTTCAGTAGGAGATTTTTCAATACTAGGAAATGCCCGTTCTCTCCATTTACTGTGCATGTTTTACAAGAAATATAAACTTATTTTTAAAGGCATCGAAAATCAGTAAGAAAGCCTCATGCTAGTTTCGTAGTCGTTTTTACAGAGTGTGGTTGTTGCATGCCGGTGGAAAGATGTTCGTTCGAAAGCCATGATGTCGTGGTAGCTGAAGTATTATAGACACTTATGCTGCGTGATGGTTGATTTTAGAACCCTGCATAGGTAATCTTTTTGAGAAAAGAACGCATTTTAGAGTTATGATCAACATTACATGACTTCACCCACCTACTGTTTGCTGTTTAGATGGCCTGACTGTTCTATGGTGGCTGCAAGTGACGTCGATGACTAGCAAACTGTGAACGTAAGATGAATTTCGGACTAGAAGGAAGACGAGTGGAGCTCGTTGGTGAAGTAAATGAGTATTTGATTCTTCCGGCGCTGGCCTCAGTCATTTCGATTTTCGGACACATTCGCGTGATGTGTTGGAGAGTGTCTCCTGAGATGCCATCTGAATGGTGAATTTAAAACGCACTATGGCAATTGTCTCGTATCAAAATGCTAATATGAGACAAAGTAAAACCTCATTACCCACTCCAAATTGCACTGTTCGCAAGTACTTATGCAGAAAGACCATTTAGCACTCTGATAATATATTTCTTACCAATAAGCAATAAGTAAACGTACAAGTCGTTAACTACTGAATAAAAAAATTCATAGACCTGAATTCATGAAAAATACAGAGCAGCCCAAATTGTGGCCCTAATTGAAATTCATCATCAGAAGGCGTTAGCAGAAATTGCTAAAGAACAGGTTTCAGGCCTTTGGATAGTTAGAATACCTTTATACGACAATGCTCCCCTACAATCACTTCATCATAAGCGTCCTTCGGTAACCAGCCGACGACAAAAACCCCCACAGATGATCTTCCGATAAAATCGACTTAACGTATTCTCCAAGCATAAATCCAAATTAATTCCCAGCCTATCTTTGTTAAACATGGTTGCTGCTTTGAGACAATTTTGCTGAAATGACTTACTGATAGTTCCTTTATTCGTCCGCTTCAAAACATCTTTATGAATGTGCTATCGCCACTACGTAGGCTACTCCCGACGCTTATAACGACATCCGCTTTTGACAGCCTTAACTGTTACCCAAAACCCGCTAATGTCCCTTAAGCCACCATTTGTCTTTCCAGTATAAAGCGTATTTATGTGCTTTTTCGCAAATCTCCTGATCTTCCAGCTGCTGTCTGTTTGCTGGCGGGTTTCAGGCGAGATCCTCAAAACAAGTGAGTTGCGTAACGTGATCGGTGAGCGCCCCTCCGTTGTTGTATACACCCGATCGCAACCGACAGGACAACGAGCCCGTGGCTCAGGAGTGAGGATATTCTACTTCTAACCAGCAGGCTGCAAAACAGCGTCCTACGGGTTACATGCATCGAAACTGGGTACGATTAACTGACTAACTGAAATGGCCGTTTCATTCTCCTTTTTCTTTTTCCGTTATGCTATCCCGCTTTGTTGCTGTTGTTGTTTCTGCTGGCGGGAATCGAGAGAGAACCCCAAGCCGTAACGAGACAAATGAAGTACCGTTGAACGCCTTTCTGCCCATGTCCTTCCTTTTGACCTCGTTATTCCACAGAACCGATCATGTACTACAACTGCTCGCTTCTGTACTCTCCCATGCTTTTGTAATGCAGGAAAATTTGGTTTGAATTATTTGCCTAGTTCATTTCATGGCCGATCCGTGGTTCCGTCTGAATGGGCAAAGCAAACGACTTCTATTTCTGTTGAGCTAACAGCAAATAAAACTAAGTTTCTAATTGACCCACAGTTGCGCAACGTCATAATTCATAGATATTTTGGTAAATTGTCAGTCTGCCAAGACATCTATGAATTATGACATTGCATACCTGTGGGTCACTTAGAAACTTATTTTTATTTGTATAAGATTCCAGACGTTGCAGTAGGTTGGGCGGGTAACTTGACCCAAATGTGATTGAACTAGAGTCGTCCGGCGGGGCCTCGTAGCTCAAGTGTTCAGATCGTTGGCTGTACTAAAGCCTTTCCCTTACTGCGTGGGCTCGAATCCCACCGAGGCGCCGAGTTTTTCACATTTGGGCCAATAAGAACGTCATAAATAAATTTTTCTCTGATGAGTGCCTTGTCAGGCCACATCTCCGATGCCCGCTACTTTAGAGAAAATGACCAATCTTACTAATCTAGCTCGGATTTGGTCTTTGCTCTTCAGTCACTCTAAACTGTTAATTGCAACACACCCCTTACTCGGGTCGGAAACATCAAAATTAAGTACACAATAGTCTTTGCAGCTTCATTCTGCCGGTAAATGCCGTAATTTACGTTCACCCAGTCTTCTCCGTTTGCACTGCAGTAAATAAAGAATCATTGCAGTTACAGTGGTGATACGTATGTATATGCATTTTGGAATGGCATTACCGACAAAGACAAGGGAGACCAGTCTCCGTTGACTTTGTCGGTAATATTATTCTGCCTATATATCATGCGCCGCTGTGCGGCTGCTGGTTGGGCTCGAGAGAGAACCCTTAAGGCACAAAGGAACGAGTGAACGGAACGGTGAACGCCCCTACCATTATATGCATTTTAAAACAGAAATGCAGTCCAAAACAGTGTTGGGAACATAGTTGGCAGGAAGCGTAATTGCAATCCATAATGCACACATGCAGAATGCTATTGCCAGACTGAACGCCAATCCGGCAGTCTTAGCTGGATACATGCGGAAAAACCAATATTTAACTTTAGTGGGGTCTTGTTTTCAAGTTTAGATATGAATGTAAGGTAAATCCTACTTTGTAGCGGTCGAAACATCATTCCCATAGTCATTTTATAGCAACTTTTTTACTTTTAAGCATTCTGCTTGTTAAAGTTGTGAGCTTTAGAACTGTAAAAAGTAAGGTTATTATGTTAACTTAATTGTTTTAGCGCTTTATAAAAGACGGATGTGACAATGCTATTCTCATACTACATAATTTTATCCATGCCAGCCTCAAAAGGAAAAGCCACTTACGGGATCCGTGAGTAATTCACTAAGTTTCTTCTGAGAAAATTCACGGTCGCCAATCAGTAAACTTTAAGAGCAACCGAATTCCACTTTGTTTCTCAAGGGGAAAAGTAATACGTAGCATTTTTATGACATATACAATCTTCGAATCGAGCGCTGAAGCAAAAGAACACCTATCAATGGGCATTATTGATGCGTAACTTTGGGCATTCGATCTACTGTGCGTTTGAGCTACTGATGTTTTTCTTCGTGTTCTTCTATTGTGGCGACTCATTTCAAAACAAGCCTCACTTCAAATTAAAGTCGCCGTCATAGTCGCATACAGACTTGCATGCACGACCATATCATAACCACCCGACCACCGATCCTATGCGTTACTAAGGAACAGGACCAATTTGTTAATATCTGTGTGCTGGGAGCCTTTCGCCAACCCGTTTTGATTTTTTGAATAAAAAGGACATTTCTCCTCCCTTGAGAATAAATTGTACGGCCTACAGTATCCGACAGCAGCTAAAAGAACTGAGACGAATAGTCAGAGACAGAGAAAATGGCTTCGAAATTGTGGTTCCCACCTGACGTTTTGTCAGCTGCCCCGAGTGATATTGGAAATTCATTGAGAAACGGGTTAATCAGTGAATTTAAAATGCACCTCCGAGAAGCTCTCTAAAGGAACTCGGTTTTCGTGTGTTCTTGACGCTCAGGAAATCGCGAACAACAAACCTTCGCAAAAGGTTAAAAAATACTTGTCAAAAATTTCGGAAAAAAATGTTTTTAACCGCAGTGTGCATAAATCGTGTAAAAAATCCGACTCAGATTCCCTAACGACCCAAAGGAGCAACATCTGACTGACTAGCACGTCTTTTGTGCTGTAAAATATCTGTGTTTACAAAAGAATGTGGTCAGAAATTTCGGTATACCGCCTATTTTGTGGGCTATAAAATGTTCAGAAGATGAAGATGCGATCACTGGAACAAGAAATCTATTTGCCTGACGTTTCGGATCCTCACTCGAATCCATCATCAGAGATATTCGCAGATGCAGGTGATGGTGGCACCAAAAGTGCAGTACTTATAGCACGTGGCTGCCGTGGACCGTATGCGCACTGTAATTAACATCCCTCGCAATCGCCGCTGGGGTCGTAATTGATGCGGCGGTGGCTTGGCGGTCCGAGTCGTTAATTGCCGCGATTTCGTCATCCCTGCTGGATGCTGGTGTGACGATTGCTCGGCAAAATGGCTCACTGTCACCGTGATAATTGCTCGCCCGCGCCTTCCCCGCGTGACTGATTCTCCTGTTCAGGGAAAATCGCAGTACGGTATAGGGAACCGGGAGGTCATTGTGCTTGTTGGAGGAGCGTCAGTCCTATGTCCCATGCGATTCCAACCCCATGAAAACGCTGACACGCGAGATTAACGCGACGCTGTTGGCAATGGAGAACTCAGGTGCAATATCGCCAATCGACCGACGCATGGCGAGAACACAAGAAACGGCCCTAGCCCGATTCTACGGTCTCCCAAAAGTGCACAAAGAGGGCGCTCCTCTCCGGCCTATCGTGTCACTAAAGGGCACTCCAACCTACGGACTGGCAAAGTGGCTGTTCCAACGTCTCAAGTTTCTGACCTCCGATTCGAACACCACAGTCAGCTCGTCAACGCAATTCTTGGAGAAACTTAAAGGAGTAAGTCTCCTGCCAAGCGATATCATGGTTTCCTTTGATGTCACGTCCCTTTTTACTTCTATCCCGCAGGACCTGGCAGTCGAGACAATCGAACTACTCCTACGAGAGAAGTACGACGAAACGGAGAATCGCCTCGGACACGCCCAAATCATCCAGCTCCTGAAGTTCTGTCTCAAGACGTACTTTACATTCGACGGAACAATCTACGAGCAGGTGAAGGGAACGCCAATGGGTTCGCCGATGTCGGGACTCATAGTTGAGGCGATCCTACAAAGGCTGGAGTCGCTGGTTTTCCGACACCACAGACCGAAATTTTGGGCTCGGTATGTGGATGACACCTTCGTCGTCATCGAACGGGATCAGGTGCTGACGTTCAAAGAACAACTTAACGCCGTCTTCCCGGACATTCAATTTACGATGGAGGAGGAGGAAAACAATCAGCTGGCCTTCCTGGATGTCCTCGTCTGCCGCAAAGTTTGTGGTGGCCTAAAAACCAAAGTGTTCAGGAAAGCGACGAATACGACGCAAATACTGAACTTCAATAGCAACCACCCGATCAGTCACAAACGCAATTGCGTAAGGGCGCTATACCGGCGTGTTGAGACGCACTGCATTGAAATGGAAGACAAGGTTGCTGAATTACAATATCTTCGACGGGTAATGAGAGCCAATGGCTACCCGCGCAACTTTGTCAACCAGTACATACGAAAAGGACACCAGAGACCAAATCCAGCCGGCCCCAAATTTTGGCGGGCTCTTCCGTACGTGAAGAACGTCTCGGAAGCCGTCAGTCGTCTTTTCACTCCACTTGGAGATGGGGTTGCACACAGGCCGGAAGCAACTATTAGATGCCAAATCATGAGGCCAAAAGACCCGCTGTCACGGCAGGACACGTCTGGAGTCATTTACCGGATCTGGTGTAGTTGCGGACAGAGCAATTATGTCGGAGAAACTGGGAGATTACTCCGTACGCGAATTGCCGAGCACGCAGCAGCAGTGAGGCGAGGAGACGCTAACTCTCAAGTGGCGGCACACTCGACGGGACCTGACCATATTTTCGAATTTCAAGAGGCCGAAATCCTAGCAAGGGGTGACAACCGCGTGAGTCGCGAGCTGCTGGAGTAATGGTTCTCAGGCCCGCAATCCATCAACAAGCACAATGACCTCTCGGTTCCCTATACCGTACTCGATTTTCCCTGAACAGGAGAATCAGTCACGCGGGGAGGGCGCGGGCGAGCAATTATCATGGTGACAGTGAGCCATTTTGCCGAGCAATCGTCACACCAGCATCCAGCAGGGATGACGAAATCGCGGCCATTAACGACTCGGACTCGGACCGACAAGCCACCACTGCATCAATTATGACCCCAGCGGTGATTGCGAGAACTGTTAATTGCAGTGCGCATGCGGTCCCACGGCAGTGACGTGCTATAAATACTGCACTCCTGGTGCCACCATCACCTGCATCTGCAAATATCTCTGATGATGGATTCGAGTGAGGATCCGAAACGTCAGGCAAATAGATTTCTTGCTCCAGTGATCGCATCTTCATCTTCTGAACTGCTACCTGGAACTCGCCTGTTCGCTTCTATCAGCACTATAATATGTCCTCAGCAGTGATGACCATCACAGACAATCGCAGTGTATACACCCTCCGGAGAGATTGGTCTACCGCACTCACCTCATCTACTGCCTTTAACAGTTCCGCTGATGTCTTACTTACTGACGTGGAATTTTCATGTAAAACTCTTGGATATGATGCAGCCGAACGGTTTCCCTAGTTAAATCATAAATTTTGGTGCAGCCGCTTTCGCCAGGGCACATTTGTCAGTACGTCAAATATTGCGTTTCAGTCAGGGACTACGTCGGTTTGACTCGGATGTTTGTTGGTTCTAATCTTTAAATGATTGGATAGGTACTTCGATCCTCTTTCCTGGTCGACAAAGCGAACCGCGCACTCCGAGCATGTGGAGTAGATGTATTATCGAATAAAATATTGATCGAGATTTTGGAGCTTGTTTCCGATTTAAAAATATTGCCTAATTAGGGTTGTGATATTTATTATCGTGCAGCACATGTTGATTTCGTCTTCGTGAAGCAAGAGTATTCCACAATCTCAACTATTTAATCTTCAAGAGCCACAAGGATGCCACATTGATAGACAACTTTTGGAAGTATCTCTATCAAGGAAAACGCTCCACAATTCTTTAGAGACAGAGCATAGATATTTACGAGGCGTGCTGCGGAAGTCATATTTTTTAAAAGATGCTTGCAGTCGCCTAGCTAGCTTCGCAGTAGCTTGCTTGTCTTATCATAAGGGAATTTCAAGACGACCAACTTTATGTCTGGACATTGGGTGGAACTGATTTTTTGTTAACTATGTACTGAAGATCATTCAGCAATCCATCCTGATCGTTTTAATGAAAATCGTATTTCCTCTTCCTGGAGAATTTATTGTGCAGTTGACTATTTCCGACAATGCCTTGTCTCTCCGAAGGAAGCCGAATATCTGTGGAGACAAAGGACATGAATCACAAAACCTGTTTCCCATCCGATTTGGTGTCAACTCCAACAACTAGATGTCTCTTGTGTTGTCGATCATTCCTCTCAAACTGGCTGATCAATCAATTTACGATACGTGTCTTCAGAGACGGCAATCAAAATGAATTGGGTTTTAGCTGGGAAGGCAAAAAATGCCCTAGATGAGAAGGAAAGCTACTGCTTCCTAACCGGTCATCATGCATTAACGTTTTCTGAATTTCCAGAGATATAAACAAGGAAATCGCTGTATGCTTCTTAACAGCCCATTATGAAATACCCGAGAGTGAAATTATGTATTCGTACCTTTGCCTTCTAATTTGATTGTAAATTGATCATTTTTATATTTTGCAGAGATTTTAGGTTGATAGCTTCAATTTCAACGGGTAGGAAATTCTGTTTTCGCCTCCGAAATACCTACAATGAAACCGAAGGTATTCCTTCTTTCATTTTCAGCAGACTACAATATGTCTGATAACGCTGAGATGAGTCAAAATATATATTGTTCTTGCCGTCCATTTAAAATTTAGCGCATGACGAAAATCCAAAATCGTACATTGCACGATCGGAGACGAAGAATCCGCATTATACGATGACTTGAGGAGCAAGTAATATTTCGGAAAAGTACTCCACGGCTTTTTTGTGAAATATGCAGGGGTATGATGCTAAGCGGAGAACTTTATATGTTATGCCACTTTTCAAACGCGTTCCGCGATTGCAGTCTATAGCGCTTGTTTGCAAGTTAGAGAAGTAGGGAAGTTAAACCATGTCGTTTGGGGACAGTAGGGCATTTTATTTTTGCTGTTCTTGTATGACTGCATTTGGTTAATTGATGATGGATTTGCTTCTACGTTGACTAGTCCTCCTAGTTGTTGCCCTATTTGGAAGCCTTCCACAAGCATAAGTGAATCTATCTAAAATTACGTCGTTCGCACGTCCTCGTTTGCATTCTTTATTAACCTATCTCTAAAGAAGCCGATCCAGTCGTCTTTTGAAAAATGGAACATCAGCTGAACTGTTACTTACTTTGGAAACTAAAAGGCTAATGGTAGCACTTTTGAAAAAGACATATTGCTTGCCTTAGGATTATTTTAAAAAAAAAGGCATATTGCTTGCTTTGAGTACCAGGGTCAAAGAACACGGATAACTAAGCATTATGTCTGAGTGAATTTGGGCATTTCATTGCCCAACAACTTTCTATTGTGTTGGGTTATGGATGTCTTAAAGTTCCTAGGACTGGACAATGTATTTCGAAACAAGTTCTGATCTGAACTATAGCTGTTTTTTTATCTTCAGCAAAACTTGTTTGTCTGATCGGAGGATGCTCTTCGGACGGCCGACTTTATGTGTGAACATCAGATGATACTGATTTTTTGTCATCTTCGTAGTGAGGGTCGTCCAGAAATCCATCTTCGTCGGGCAAACATAAACGGCATTTCCCCTTCCTTGAGAATTAATTGTACGGTCGACTATTTTCGACAGCAGCAGATATGAGAAAGGCTACTAGTCATAAAGGTAGGAGACTTGACTTACAAAACGTGATTCGCATCCCTTGTGTTGTTGATGTTTCCGTCTACACTAAATAATCACCCAATTTACGATACTGTCCTTCTGAAAGGACATTCAGAATGAATTAGGTTTTAGTTTTTTGGGGACAGCTCGAAAACTGGGAATGACAAAACTGTCCTAGATACTGAGAAAATGATTAAAAATGTCCGAAACTTCCGAACGGACATTTTACTGATTTTTAGCTAAGATGGTCATACCTGTAGAAGAAAACAAAACGCGCGAATTAATAATCTAACTCTTATTTGTTTGAAGTTCGCAAGGAGGCGTATCTGCAGAAGAGCAACATCAGACCGAATAACTCGTTCAATGAGACGTCCGATACTAGCATACAGCAAAAAATGAGGTCAGACATTTCGGAAAACTGCTTATCCTATAGACGAAAGGACTACTCTTCAGTGACGTTTACCGCAAAAAATCAAAATTTGCGAGTTTTTCGGACATGTCGGCGCATTCATGTGAGCAGCTTCTTTTTAAAGAGCTTTTTCTACTTTAATTAAGAACGAATTATTTTCGTAAACAATCCTATGTTCTCATTCCATCTAACATTATCATCGATTTTAAATGACGCAGCACTTGCGGCCACGGGCGCTTTGGGGAACCAGACATCCCGCCATGATGCAGACTATGAGATTTTTCGGAAATGAGACTTCGTTGTGTTACGGTTCTAACCAAACTAAAAAATTGTGTGACAGCCACTCTTGCTGGGGCTTATATGTCAATAAGTCAAATATTGTATTTATTTGGGGATTTTGCCTGCCAAAAGCATACGTTTGTTGTTTATTGTGCGTCTTTGCAGACAGCACGTCAGGGAATGGCAAAAACACGTTTTTTTCTCGCATAACAAATGAATTCAGATATATACTGCTGTTTTGACCAAACGGTGGCTAGAGAAGTGGGTTTTTTGGGAAAATATAAGCGATGTTTTTCCGGAAAAAATAGAAAAGCCGGACAGTTTACTCTGTCGGCGAAATGCACCTTGAGGAACTCACTCAGGTTTTTGCAATATGAAGCAATGTCTAATCGGCGCTCCTTGGACGACGGACGAAAATGCATCAAATCGCCGCATTAGTAAATAAAATTAAGAAAAGTACGAGTCAGTATATGTTGGGCAAAGTAGGCGAGGCGGCGCACAAGACCGAAAAATATTCACAGACGAATGCATTGGGGGCGAATTTTCAAGTCAGCAAGGGGCTTTAGTTTAATCTGCCCTGAGATCGCGATAGGGAGTCTTTTACGGTTAGCTGTTGTTGACTTTATCCCAGCCAATTAAGCATGTAAGCTGAATCATAACAAGCAGCGCAGGAGAAGGGAATCGCATATTCCCATAAACAGTCGCATCATCCTAAGCGCTAGTGAATGCAAACGCATAAATATCGGCTGCATGGTGAGAAGATCGAGCAGTATCACTAGAAAGGAGACTTTTTGATGTGCGTTGGTCATATTCCTTTCTGCAAATCAGGGAGTCTAGGATGCCAAACAGCCTGTATCGGACAGAGATTTAGCCGTCAATTCTACTTTCCATTAGCAGAATTAAACGCACTTATATTTTCCTCTTCCTGCTGTCGCTTTAGAAATATGCTTATGTCGACGTTACCTGAACGCACATCAGGAAAGACTTGAAGTGAATCTTTGCTGAGAACACTTTATGAATAACTATTCTTAGGGTAGCGGTAGGATGAAACTCATAAGAGATCCCCCTTTTACCGGGCGCACATTTCCTCCTTGGAGGATCCGGTGGAGTTGCAAAACCGGATGTTGTTATATTATAGAAGGCTTAAAGAACAGTAAAACACAGTTAGTGAGAAACTATTCGACAGTGATTATCCTCTGGAACTCGCTTGTGACAATGAAAGCGATGAGGTTAAATGGGTAGAATCCAGGTCGTATACAGGATTCACAATGTCGTTGATGTGAAACTGGCTTTCGGGACCTCCTTCATCAGCAGAAAAGTTAATCAGAACTCCCAATGAACAAACAAAAAGTAGATACCGTGATAATTTTGTTGATATCTTAGCCCG